GAAGCATGGGAGGCCATCATCTTCCAGCCCTCCCACTCAAGGTGGGTGCAGGAAGACGCGATGTGTGACGCCTAGGCAGGCCTGCCCTCGATCTAAAGGCTTCGGGAGCAACTTACGTTCAAAGACTCGATGGTTCACAATATTCTGCAATTCACACCAAGTATCGCATTTCTCTATGTTCTCCATCGATGCGAGAGCCAAGATATCCGTTGCTGAGATTCGTTTAATGTTATATATGACTTGGTGCCACCTATACAACTAGAGAACCGGTTGTAGAAGGGCACACTTGTATTTATGTTCCTTGGCGCAGATCGCACCGGGGTTCATTATTGTGCCGAGAAGATGCCCCACAAAGGCGAAGCACCTCTCCGACAAGGGCAAGGGGCTTTCACCACTTCCCATTCATGATAAACATGTTTTCTAGTCGCTCTGCTGGGCAGGTTTCGACAATGATCCTTCCGCAGGTTCACATACGGAAACCTTGTTACGACTTCTCCTTCCTCTAAATGATAAAGTTCAGTAAAATTCTCGTGACATCGTCGGTGGAAAACCGCCCATGTCGCCGCGATCCGAACACTTCACCGGACCATTCAATTGGTAGGAGCGACAGGTGGTGTGTACAAAGGGCAGGGACGTAGTCAACATGAGCAAATGACTCACGCTTACTTGGAATTCCTCGTTGAAGACCAATAATTGTAATGATCTATCCCCATCATAGTGAAATTTCAAAGATTACCCGGACCTGTCGGTCAAGGCTATAGACTCGTTAAATACATCATTATAGCGCACATGTGGCCCAGAACATCTAAGGGCATCACAGACTTGTTATTGCCTCAAACTTTTGTGGCCTAAAAGGCCATAGTCCCTCTAAGAAGCTAGTTGCGAAGGTATAGCTCCGCATAGCTAGTTAGAAAGATGAGGGCTCGTTTGTTAACAGAATTAATCAGAAAAATTGCTCCACCAACTAAGAAGGCCATGCACCACCACCTAAAGAATCAAGAAAGAGCTCTCAGTCTGTCAATCCTTACTATGTCTTGACCTGGTAAGTTTCCCCGTGTTGAGTAAAATTAAGTCGCAGGCTCCACTCTTGGTGGTGCCCTTCCGTCAATTCCTTTAAGTTTCAGCCTTGTGACCATACTTCCCTCGGAACCCAAAAACTTTGATTTCTCATAAGGTGTCCGCGGCGTCCTAAAAGTAACTTTCGTCGATCCCTGGTCGGCATCGTTTATGGTTCAGACTAGGACGGTATCTTATCGTCTTCGAGCCCCCAACTTTCGTTCTTGATTAATGAAAACATCCTTGGTAAATGCTTTCGCAGTTGTTTGTCTTTCATAAATCCAAGAATTTCACCTCCGACTATGAAATACGAATGCCCCCGACTGTCCCTGTTAATCATTACTTTGATCCCGAAGGCCAACACAATGGGACCGAAATCCTATAATAATATCCCATGCTGATGTATATAGAGTGTAGGCTTTCTTAGAGCACTCTAATTTCTTCAAAGTAACAGTGCCGTAGGTACGACTCGGCCAGTTAAGGTCAGGAGCGCATCGCCGGTGAAAGAGGTGAGACGGTTGGTGCACATCAAAGGCTAAAGTCCTCTATTCATACTACTCAAGGGTTGGCCACATCCTGGCCAAATAGGAATAACTTCCCACTACTTTGTTAACTTCCCACTACATGGTAACTACCCACTGTCAAGTAACCGCCACTTGATCCCACTACCAATCCCTCTTAGAATTAAGGGATGGATGCCATGTCATCCCCTACTCTTCTCAACTGATGAGCGGTTATCACTTTGTGGTAACCGTCTCCCATGATCCCCACTATACGGGTAACCGTCAACCCACGTTCTCCACTAAGCCACCCAAGTAACCGTCAAGTAACTACCCCCACTCGTGATCCCTATAAATAGGATTCACTCTAGTTATCAACCACACACACATTAAGTTATGCTTAGACTCTCGGAGCCTCGCAATTCAGAGCCACAAGTTCCAGCCATGGTGCACCGACTTGGATCAAGCCATACCTCAAGCCAACCCCTTAGCCAAATCCCATTGTGTTATAGCCATCATAGGCTATCCTATGTCTAAGGCTACGCTCATGGCCCTTGGCCATGACGCTACCTAAGGTTTTCCACCAACCCATGAGTGAGCACCTGCCCCCTAAAGAGATTTATATTTATTTTGTTAAGTAATACTAGTGAACACTCAACTGACAAAAACACAATAATAGTCCCATGGGTCGTTCTCTTGCCCATGTTCCCATCGGTGGTGTGGTTAAGAGGTTACTTGGGCCATCTTAGGGTGCCCTTCCCATACGGGGCCGGACCGAATGGTTGTTAGGTAAGCCTAACATAATGGGTGGAAGATCGTACTCGGGACTAGGCATGGCCTTGCCATGTGGTTGGAGCGAGGTTGTGGCCACATCAGTGGCGAAGGTATAAGCCCCCGTCTTTGCTGTGACAGTAGGCTACTATCCTACCATCGAAAGTTGATAGGGCAGAAATTTGAATGATGCGTCGCCGGCGCAAATGCCGTGAAATCCTTCGAGTTATCATGAATTATCAGAGCAACGGTTAGAGCCCGCGTTGACCTTTTATATAATAAATGCATCCCTTCCAGAAGTCGGGGTTTGTTGCACGTATTATCTCTAGAATTTCTACGGTTATCCGAGTAGCAAGTACCATCAAACAAACTATACCTGATTTAATGAGCCATTCGCAGTTTCACTGTCTGAATTAGTTCATACTTAAACATGCATGGCTTAATCTTTGAGACAAGCATATGACTACTAGCAAGATTAACCAGGTAGCACTCCTTGTTCGACACCGGCACTCATGAGCTTGCCTAACACAATAGGTGGAAGATCTTACTCGGGACTAGGCATGGCCTTGCCATGTAGCTGGCGCAAAGTTATGGCCACATCAGTGGCGGAGGCACTAGCCCCCATCTTTGAATATGACACATCTATTAAAAAATAACGTAGATGTCCTAACATAAGCTCAACGAGAACAGAAATCTCGTATGGAACAGAAGGGTAAAAGCTCGTTTAATTCTGATTTTCAATGCGAATACGAACCGTGAAAGCGTGGCCTAACGATCCTTTAGACCTTTTGAATTTTAAGCTAGAGGGGTCAGAAAAGTTACCACAGGGATAACTAGCTTGTGAAAGCCAAGCGTTCATAGCGACGTTGCTTTTTGATCCTTCGATGTCGGCTCATCCTATCATTGTGAAGCAGAATTCATCAAGTGTTAGATTGTTCACTCATCAATAAGGAATGTGAGCTAGGTTTAGCCCGTCGTGAGACGGGTTAGTTCTACCCTACTGATGACAGTGTCGCAATGGTAATTCAACTTAGTACGAGAGGAACCGTTGATTCACACAATTGGTCATCGCGCTTGGTTGAAAAGCCAGTGGCGCGAAGCTATCGTGTGTTGGATTATGATTGAACGCCTCTAAGTCGAAATCCGGGCCAAAAGCGACGCATGCGCTCGATGCTCGATTGTCGTCCTACAGTAGGGGTTTTTTCCCCCAAGGGCACATGTCGTAGGCTAAGCTCGCGCGGTGGATGCGCCGTGAGAGTCGCCTTGAAGAACAATTCCTACCAAGCGGCGGGTTGAATCCTTTGCAGACGACTTAAATATGCGACGGGGTATCGTAAGTGGCAAAGTGGCCTTGCTGCCACGATCCACTAAGATTCAGCCCTATGTCGCTTCTATTCGTCCTGCCCCCCCCCACTCTATTCCCTAAAAACACCTATATTTTGGAAAACGAGGTTAATGTTGCTTCTTAGATGCTAAAAAATGCTAAGTAGTGGATTGAGACAAGTGACAAAGTCAAAATATTGGGGTGTGGGATGGTGCAAGGGGGTGTGTCACATCTGCATAAGACATGTGCACCCAAATGGACTCCCGGATGGTATTAGAGTCTTTAGGTAGCTTCTCGTCAACTTTTGTTTCCGGGTATAAAAAAAGTCAAAAATTGGCAAAATTGAAGGCTATAATACACGTTTTTTGGCCAATTTCAGAGGTTTTCGGACCCGGTGTCGAAAAGTCTCGAGATACTAGGGGATACATCCCAAAGTCATATGATGTCGTTTGGAACCATATATGATCATTATATGTTGCCATAAATGTCCGTGGTAGCCTCGAGTTTATGAAATCGATACAAGTTGTAAACAGGTAAATTGACAGTTTGAAGGTAATATATTGGATGTTTTTACCCACTCAAATGGACTCCTGGGGTGTATTAGGGTAAATGGGAAGCATCTTGACAATTTTTATTTTCAGGTCTATAAAAGTGAAAAATTGTCCAAAATCGAAGGCTAATACACGATTTCGGGTCATTTTTTAACATTTTTCGAAAATTGAACTGAATACGTGGGGTGACTCTCGGGGTCATATAAGGTGGTTTGAAACCATAACACCCCAATAAAGATGTCTATAAAGTACCAAGAATGAGTTATGTTTCTATTTTGAAATTTTGGAATATAATGATGTCATAAAAGTATATTGAAGTGATAGTACTTGACAATAATGATGTCATAAAGGTATATTATGATGTCATAAAAGTATATTGAAGTGATGTGACTTAACAATAATGATGTCATATGAAATGATATATATTACTTGACAATCACGATGTCATATGAATATAATGATGTCATATAAGTATATTGAAGTGATGTGATTTGACAATAATAATTTCATATGAATTTAATGATGTCATATTATGTAATTATATTTATAATGATGTGAAGTCATAGTATGATGGGACTTGACAATAGTGATGTGATGTGACTTCATACTATAGTTTGGAATTGGAAAAGAATACATGTTATATATGATGTAAATATGGATAATCATAAAACTATTCCATCACATGTGTGTTGATTGATGTGTCGATTGATAGATTATGGATATTAATTATACTTTTATAGAATTATCATAGTACTATTCATGTTTGTAATCTAAGTATCACATCTCATCTCATATTCCATCATCAATTAACACATACTGTCCCTCAAAACACCATGTCCCGGGGTCAATTGGCACATTCCCGGTATAAAACAACCTCAAAAAACAAGCAGTACGGGTAATGTGGGAGGTACCAAAGTGTCAAAAATACATCCACCTACCATTCCAAACCTTTTTCCCATCTTATGGGGTTGTTTCAACAACTTTTCCAGTTTTTCCAATTATTGCTTTTTACCCTTACTTTCCATTTTGGGGCCCACATAAAAATATTTTTTGGGAGAAAAAAGGTGACAAAATGAAGATTAATACCTATTCTTTGGATTCCTTTGAAAAAAAAAAAAAGAAAAAAAGGTATGTGTTACTACCAGTCGGATGTTCACTACAATCTTTACGAGAATTTTAATATAAAGCTCTCCAGGGGAAGGTGGGCAACTCAAGCTTGAATATCTAAAATTTAGTTATTCAACCTTGGGGCCTTCTCCGGACATGAGGTAGGTTGTGTGCATTGCCAAACGTTAGTACAATGCACAGAGAAATCTCACCGAGTCACCGGTAAACATGATTTATCACTCAAGCTAAACAACAGGTAAAATCTCAACCCTCAATTATATCATTTCAATCTATAGAATTCTTTCGACGGATAAACTCTTTGTGAAATTAATCAATTGATCCAATCTTAAGTGTGTACGGATTATGTCATTTTTGTGTTTGTTCTTGAATGGCGCATGGTATTCGTTGTCCAATTGGAATATCCGTAAAATTAATGTTCCGGGGTTTGAGTTGTCGTTCTGCCATGGACTCCGATCATCTTCTCTTATTGATTTTCCTGGCTTTCTCATCTCGGGAGCCCCAGTTGATGTGAATGTTGCTAATGTAAGTGTAGTTGCTTGCTGTCTTATGTTTTCATTTACACAATTTGTTGGGAATATAGGAAAATATATTATTGTGATATATTTTCCATATATATCTTATGATATTATATTTAGGATAATAATATATCTTAGTGATATTCTAAGATAGATTTACGGAAGTTTATATGATAGACTTTATATTGTGTAGATTATCTTATCTAGGCTATAAATATTAGCCAAGATCATCAATACAATTAAAACTATTCTCTCATAAATAATTTGTCATGGTATCAAGAGCAGGTTAAATCTTGAAACCGTTCACACAAATTCTCTCCCTGCCGGTGGGTTAGAATATTAAACCCACCGGTGGGATTCATAAATTTGCTTCCGCTATGCAATAGTATTGCTCTTTGATTTTTTTTTTTTTTTTTATTTAATCTTTTTTTTTTTGTAACCATGTGATACGTGATCAATATGAATGGTCATATGTGATTTGGTTAGGTTGTAGTGTTTGAGTGTGCTTCCTCCATTATTGCATCTTTAAGGAGATGAAGAAAAGCCACGTTTGGCGTATTATTTATTATTTAAAAAAAAATTGCAAAAGAACACGGACATCGGCAAAGGGCCTGGCAAAGAAGATCGCGGACACCAGCAAAGGGCCGTGGCAAAGAAGATTACGGACACCAGCAAAGGGCCGTGGCAAAGAAGACCACGGACACCAGCAAAGGGCCGTGACAAAAGACCACGGACACCAGCAAAGGGCCGTGACAGAAGACCATGGACACCAGCAAAGGGCCGTGGTAGCAAAAGTTCTTTTTTTTTTTAAATAAAAAAAAATTGAAGGCGACATCAACAGAGTAGTGCAACTCGATCAACTGGAGGGTGTTGGGAATATAGGAAAATATATTATTGTGATATATTTTCCATATATATCTTATGATATTATATTTAGGATAATAATATATCTTAGTGATATTCTAAGATAGATTTACGGAAGTTTATATGATAGACTTTATATTGTGTAGATTATCTTATCTAGGCTATAAATATTAGCCATGACAAATTATTTATGAGAGAATAGTTTTAATTGTATTGATGATCTTGGCTAATATTTATAGCCTACATAAAATAACCTACACAATATAAACTCTATCATATAAACTTCCATAAATCTATCTTAGAATATCACTGAGATATATTATTATCCTAAATATAATATCATAAGATATATATGGAAAATATATCACAATAATATATTTTCCTATATTCCCAACACAATTACACTACATATGGAGATGGACGAACAGTGCGTAGTTGTTGGGTGTCTTATGTTTTCATCTTCTCTTGCCTTTATATCATTGTTTTTTCTTTCAGGGATTGGATTAAATGTAGATAATAAACACCCGACCACTTGCTTGAATGCAAGGTTGCGACAAATAGCCTCTATGTCCTGCCAACTACGCAAAGAAGATATCTTGGCCTCCTTCTTTAACAAGTTTGAGAATTTCTTTGACCAGTTCTTAAGCCAAGGTAAACCAAGTTTACTCTTTTTAATCCATATATAGTTAGATTTTAGCTCTATTTACTTTCCTGCCCACTGTCTATTTTATGCTTATGTAGTACAGGTGCTAATGAGCTATCACGAATTTTGGCCAAAGTTTGAATTTAATTAAATGGATGCATAAAGCTCCAAAGAAATCTTAATTATGATGTATCAATCATTCTATAGTGAGTATATATTTGCGTCATTCTGCAAGGAGTAAGATTTAATTTACTTCCCTCATCTCTCTGTTGATACTTGAGAGGAGGGCTTTATTAGAAATGGTAAAAAACTATAAAAAGTGATCATTCTATTAGTCTTTCAGGTTTCAAACCTTTAGAGGAACTCTACTACCAGACTTGGTTGCACAGTTTAGATGCAGGCCCTATCTTGTTTAAACCTCAATTACATAGAAAAGTTGCTTATACTGGTTGTCTTATATTGCTTTGCCTCAATAACCCTATCTTCTTTATTACGTTCGCAATTGCGGTATGTAGCAAACTAGTAATACTTACTTTGGGGATATAAACAATTCAGAAGTTTTGGATTGTATAATTTACAAACGTTTTTTTGCAAGTGCTTTTACTTGTTTTAACTGGATGACCTTAACAAGACAAAGGAGCAAATTGTTGTTATTGCCTAAAGTATGAATTTGACTGCACTATGCAAGCTTTTATTTCTTACATTTATGAACAAATGGGTTGAGGGTATTTTTTATTTACAGCCTTCATGAATTAACAAAACAGGATGCACAAATTCGCATTGGGATCAGGCATAAACCATATATATTTGAACTATATAGATCTTCCAAAAGTTTAAGGTGCATGCAGGATTGCAGCTTTAAGGGTTGCAGTATTGAGACTGCTGGTCAAGTGTGTATAAATGTAATACTTGAGACACTGCATATTGATCAACCCTTGAGTATCTTTAGCTGGAAGTAAAGAGTCTTCTGATTGTTTTTATTCAATAAATATCTTTATTCCCCTGAATCTCTTAATGGATTCTTCTAGGGACATAAGTCCTTGTCAATTTCCAGAGTACGAATGATTCTATGTGTTTGGTTCTAAAATTGGGCTTTATTTCTGATCATTGCTCTTAAAGAACACATCTTGTAAAAACTCCTTGAACTGATGATATGAATCATGTTATGTTTTGTTCTTAATCACCCATACAGTTCACATTTAAGTAAAGTTTCTTGGCTCTCTGCAGACAAATTCAGTTGTATTGACTTGATGTTCTTTTGTTTTATAACTGCAGTGGACAAAGAGTTATTGTACAGGATACACGTGAAGGCCAAACAGTGGATAATGCTGCTACTATTCAGGTAATACTTCAAAGCTATGCGCCTTTGCATATACATGTCTATAAAAGGATAATGTCTATCATGTGTCCTGGTCTAGTACTAACAATTCTTCAATATCTTTATATGGTTTTGCATGCACGGTAAAATCTATGAAAGATAATGGGAAAAACAAAATTGTTAGTTTGAATACTTACATTAAGAAAATTGCAAGGTATAAATGATGAATGATAACTTTACTGATATGTGATTCCAGCTTAGACCGCTAAAAATTTGTTTGGTGTTAGTATCTAACAAGTTGTGTTTGTTGGTATTTGCATTGGATATATTGGCATTTTTTTTCTATTCTTGTACTATTTATTGATTTTTCTTACAGGGATTGACATCATCGGGATATCTATTGGCAATTGGAGATGATGGTCAAATGTGTGAACTTCACCCAGATGGCAATAGGTTTGTCATCATAGATCTTCTTTTTTTCCAATGTTGATTAAGTACATGCTTTCCTAGCATAAACATGTATTACTCATTTGAGGGATGGCTTTATTTCACGATAGTAGCCTACCTTTAAGAATGTGTGGGAGCAGCTCTCTATAGGTGCCACACTGCAGTTTACCTCCTTCACTTCTATCAGTCTTGTTTGGAAAAGAGGTGGATTCTTGCATTATTAACAAAGGTGTCAAATTGAATAGTGTATTTCTGGTTTTGGTGTGGCATTGAAAGATGAAAGATATCACAATTTGGAAAGACTGAAATGAGGACGTCTTAGCTGGTTTTTCCTGATACTGAATAGTCTTTTGTTCCGCATAATTGCCAGACATTGGTCCGCCTGTATGGTAAAGCATGACTTTTCAGTGACTTGGATTTCTTATGCTGATTAGGTCCCTCCAAGGTTTCCTTTTTCCTTTTCCTTTTAGATGTGAAACTTGAGATGAGTTTACCCACTTTACTGGTGATGGGCCTAATCCAGATAGTATCTAGCACATACTATTTATGAGGCTGTAAAACAAGCCCTTGAAGATCTTCCAATACCCAGTAAACAATTACAACTAGTGAATTTGTGGGAGGGTTCCCGGGGCACCAGTACAAGATGTATTATAACTGTCAGTAGGCTTTAAGGAACAATTACTTGCATCTTGGAAAGCTTGAGTAGAAATCTTTCAAGCTCTAAAACAGCCTATATTGGTAATCTGATCATAAATAAAAATAGACATGAAGTGGCTCATTCTTGCAGAATTTGCAGCCTTTAATCATGAATAATAGAGTAATAGACCCTTCCATTGCCCAATCATAAATGTCAACATTTATTGTGAAGCCTGCGAATGTAATCCATTGGCCTTACGTTACATACATGTTATTAAAACCAATGCTAACTGTCTTGCTAAAGGCTATAACTGATGTCTACATAACTCGGTTTTGATGTTGCTGTAAGTCTCCTACGCTTCTTAGCCACTTTCAGAAGATAATTGTTGTCTGCAGCATGAAGAGCTTTGTATTTATGTAGCAGAAGATAAGGCTACCCATGGGACCATTATGAGATGTTTCGGATGAAAACAATCGAATCTCGGAAGATCCTTTTATCTTGAGGGAACTTGGTCTCGGTCCGAACGACGCCGGAGCCGAGGGTTTCCTGCACAACAAATACACGTAAACTAGCCTCGGGGGGGACGCCGAGGAAGGCCCCTCCGATGCTTAAGTCAGTATATTAGAGAGAGAAAGCTGTGCAAGAGTTTTGTTGCTTGAGGCTTATTGTCTTTGTCTTGTTTTCTTACTCTTACCAAGAATTGACCAAATTGTTGGCTTTTATACCTTGGCTAATGAAGGAGGCGGATTGGGCCCGGAAATCAGTTGGGCTGGGCCAAGCTGATTGGGCCGTTGACTGACCTTGACATGGCTTTGAGGATGTTGATTCTTGACTTTAGCATATTTGGAGAGTTGAACCTTTGCCTTGGGCTTTTAATTGGATCATTCAGTGACCAGGCCCAATTGGACTAAATTGGACCCAAACAACTTGCCCCCCAGACCCGATTTGGAAGAATGACGGGTCGGGTTTGATTTAACCAGAAAAGGAGGGAAGTGAATGATTTGCTGATCCAAAAATGTGAATTTGAACCGTAATTAACCCATGATTAATGAGATAACAACAGTTAATGTGGATGATTGCGGAAGTTGGACGGGTAGTGGGCGATTTAACTGCAAGGTCGTGTGTTTAACGGCTACTTAGTGGGGTGCTTGAGAGAAATTGAAACGCAGACTCCTTGAATTCCCATTTCTGGAGATATAAATAGAGGCGCGTCTTCTCTCCCCACTCACTCATCAACACAAACCCAGAATTCTCAAGAACGCTCAAGAGCCCGCATCAAAACTTCGCAAATTCCCCGAGCATTAAGCTTAGAGGCTGAGACCTGTCACTACCAATTCGTAAATCGGCGGCTTTTGCTTCAGATCAAGGTAAATTCCTTTGATTTTATTTCATCTTTCTTCGACTTCGCACTCTTTCCCCTTTTTCGACTTTTTCCTTCGAAATTCGTCAATGGTGAGGGGAGTTAGAGGTGGAGCCCGTGCTCCAAGAAGAGCAAGGCTAATCCCCGATCCCAGGGTCAGGATTGGGACCTGGAATGGGCGAAGGACAGAGTCTGACCCTGCTGAAGGGGTTAGGGCGACTCCCATTTCTTCGGCTCCTCCTCAGAGGGCTGAGGGGGTGAGAGCTTCAGGACGGGATGATGAAGTTCCCGCTGTCCTTTGGGATATCCTCCCAGGGTTTTCAGAGTGGGAGGATGCCGAAGTAGCTTCAGCCATGATAAAGAACCGTCCCTACTCATGGTGGGTAGAGAACGCCGATCAATATCGATTTGCTGAGCAAATTGAGTTGCACTACGGCATTTTTGAAGCTGATGGATATTGGTGCCGAATGCCCTCAGCATCCGATAGAATCCATCGTCCACCCCCGGGGTATGTGGGGGTGTACACGAGACAGCTTCAGTATGGGCTGAGGTTCCCTTTGGACGTATTCGTCCGAGACTTGCTGATCCATTACAACATTTCCCTGTGCCAGCTGACCCCCACCAGCATCCGAAGGGTAATGACGTACTTATGGGTCTGCAAATTCTTCAGATACGTGCCGAACCTGCACTGCTTCAGAAAGCTCCATCGGCTAGTGCCAAATATTCAGAGTGGGCACGGAAGCCATGGTTCTGGGTGGTATCGGATTGAGTCTCGGCCCCCGTTCCTAACCATGTGGCCGAACGACTCTTCAGACAAGGACTGGAGAGGTCAATGGATTTGGGTTAGGGCGCCCACGGAGCCGAGCCATCCTTATGTTTTCAGCGCTCCCCGGTATCTTGCCGAGCCGGATCCTGATATGGGAAGTTTAGGTCCTCCCGAAGATAGCGGGCCAGACCCGAACCTTAACCAGCAGAACATCTTCGGCAAGCTGCCGAACCGGGGAGGCAGCGGCCGAATGCAGCATATCCCGGAGACTTGGCTCCCCGATACGCACTATGTTTTCCAAGAGAATATGCTGGCAGCTGTCGGCCTCAGCCGAAAGTTTAGGGATGGTAATCTTCTTCGGCTGGGGCCGAGGCCTTTTAATTATCTCTTTTCTTCTTTCATTTTGCTTTCTTGTGATGTGCCGAACTAACTGAATTGACTTCTCCCCTTTTCTTTTTCAGAACGGGACGAGACCAACATCGGCATTGATTACGCTCGCCTTGGCGTCAACCGAGAACGAGTCGTAACTGATCGGGCTCCCCCTATCACTGAACCAAGGCGCCGAGAGGTTCACCTAGACTCTTCCCACTTCCAAATTGAGGCTGTTGCTCTGTATCAGAGGCAGAAGCCTTGGTGGAAGAAGAGGGATCCCTTGTTTCAGCTGCTGGAAGAAGAAGCTGAAGCTGCCCGTACAGCCGAAGAGGTTGCACGGGTTATTGAAGCTTGTGAAGGAGGAGAAGGGTCCTCCAGAGCTGCTGAAGCCGAAGCTGCAGCTAGAGCAGCTGAAGAAGACGAGGCTTTGCTGAAGACCTCGGTGAGTTTTTAGACAACTTTTTTCTTTCTTTCTTTTTTTTTACTCACACTCTTCTTCCCCCTGTCTGTTACAGTCTGAAGAGAGTAACAGACACAGAGAAGGCAAAGCTCCTGTTCGTCCCGAAGATCAAATACAAGAGTCTTCAGACTCAGATATGGACGAGCAGCCCCTTCTGAAAAGGCGCCGAAGGATGGCCATCATCGGCCCTCATGATTTTCAGCAGAGGCCGATGACCATCGGCGTCGCAATAAGGGAACCTGAGGAAGGCAATGGATCGCCGAGGGTTCCCCAGCCAACACCCCAATCTCCTCAAAAGACCCCTCCACCACCTCCTGAGATGGAGGTGGATCAGAGAACTCCCGGACCTAAGGGAGGGGTCCAAGAAGAAACCAAGGAGAGTGCTGCTGAGCACGGAAATAAAGATGCCGTGATGTCAAGTGCTGAAGGCTTCACGGCAGATATCGCAAGAGAGGTTGAGGCTTTCGTCCTCACCCCTGAAGAAGAGGAGGTCATAGTACTTGACTCCTCTGAGAAGGACGATGCTGAGACAACCAAAGCTAATCAAGCTCCATCGTCGTCCTTCCCTTCTTTCCAGACTCTGCATTCTGGAGAAATGGGTTTCTCGGCCCCCCGAATTCCAATCCCAGATCACATCTGGGACCTCATATGGGGTCAAAACCGAGAAGGAGCTGCAGCCTACTTCGGCAATTTTGCCGGCATGTCCGAAGTAGACAGGGCAAGGATCTGGTCGCTGAAGGCCACTGCTGGGATGGGCGAATCCAGTAGATCAGTTCCTGACCCAGCCAGGTCTAACCAACTGCTGATGATGCAGGTAATTTTCCTTGCCTTGATTTCTTTCTGAACTCAACCTTTCAGCTATTATTTTTTTACTTTTTTAACTTGTGCCCCTGTTTTCAGTTCGTGCACAATCAGACTCTCACTGTAGAGCTGATAGATTCCCTACAAGATAGGGTGGACGCTGCCGAGCACGATCAAAGGGTAGCCGAGGAAGAGCTAAAGCTTGCTAAGCTGAAGCAGGCAGCAGCTGAAGAGAAGCAGCAGGAGGTTGAGGAGTACGGTAAAAAAGCTGCCGAAGCTCTGAAAACCTTCTGTGATGCTATGGAGATGGAGGTTTTTCCCCCACTGATGGAAGGGGAAAAATTCCTCCAAGAGTACCTGGGGGTGGACATCTCCAAGTTCAAGGCTGCTATCGAGAGCCGAATCCAAGGAGCTGCTGCACAGGCTGAGGTGCAGCATCAGCTAGAATCTCTTGAAGCCAGCAGAATGGCTGCTGAAGAGATGCTCCAAGCTAGGGATGTCCAACTCTCAAGGGCTGCTGCTGCTGCTGAAGCTCAAAGAGCTAAGCTACAAGAGGCTGAGGATCAGCTCACTGCCAAGAAGGAAGAAATGGTCCAAGTTCAGGCCGAGG